TTTTAATGAGAATTAAGTGAGATATCTTTTTTTTTTTCCCTTTTTGTCTTTTTTCATGACCGGTAATGGGATCACAACCCTTGGTGTCGCGCCTGTACCGCGACTGGCAATGGGATCGCAACCCTTGGTGTCGCGCCTGCACCGTGCTCAACCAGTGAGTGGACCGGTCTCTATATGGGATCCGAACCCTCGGCGGGAGCGCCACCGCGCTCGCAAGCGCCGCACTCTACCGAGTGCGCCACCAGGCCAGCCCAAGTGAGATATCTTTAAAAAATAATAGTCACCAAAACTTGTCTCATTTCATCATAACAGTTTTATGAGGTAGGAAGAGGTCGTGGCAGTGGAAGTAGCACAGGTAGTAGGAATGATAATAAAGGCATTTATTGAGCACTTGTGTGCCTGGTACTTTACGGGTTTCAATTTAATCCTGTAAACAATCTTACAAGGTTGATACTGTGATTGCCATTTTTTTTTTTTTTTTAAAGATGACCGGTAAGGGGATCTCAACCCTTGGCTTGGTGTTGTCAACACCACGCTCAGCCAGTGAGCAAACCGGCCATCTCTATATAGGATCCGAACCCGTGGCCTTGGTGTTATCAGCAACGCACTCTACCAAGTGAGCCACGGGCCGGCCTATGATTGCCATTTTTATAGATGAGAAAATTTAAGCATAGAGAGATTAAATAACTTGCCCCCATTTGTACAGCTAATGTAATATGTAATGTAATGTGCAGCTGGGTTTAGAATCCAGGCTACACTTCTAGATATTAGTTTATCCCCATTTTTTGTTTTAGAGGCAGAAGATTAGGCAGTAATTAACTCACTAAAATTCACAGACTTTATAAGTAGCAGAGATATATAGAATATGAACCCAAATCTCTCTGATTTCAAAACTATTCTTAGTTATCATGGTGTACTGCCTCCACTGCTAAAAAAAATAAATACTTTCTGATGTAATATTGTTGAATGGGTCAGTTATTTAATATGTCACATTGCTGTGTTCATTCACATATGAAAGATGACATACTGCCTTGATCGAGTGTTACACAAGGGTACCAGGCTTTTGACTACTGCGTGATACATGTACTCTACCTGCTGAGTTGGTATAGAAGATGAACAGCTTTGGAGTTTTGTGGATATTTGACAGGATTCTTGATCATTGCTTGAATTCCCAGTAGTGATGTTAATGTTAAGTAGACCTTCAGCAGGAGGACTGGGCTGCCTAAGATGTCAGAAGCTGGTGGGAGGCAGATGGTAATGGGGAGAGGATGTGGATATAGGGTGGGACAGCACTTTGTTTCTCTCATTATTTTTAGCGTCACCACTGTGTTTATTGACTTCTCCCGCTTTGTGGTTTTGTCCTCTTGTTCTTCCTTTAACTAACTTCTCCTAGATGTCTGACTTCTCTTAACTTCTGCGTACATAGACTTGGAATAAGTATAGTATTTTAATCATCTGCCTGGTGACGGGTGTGTGATATGCTATGGCTGTAAAAAGAAAAGTCTGCCCTGAAATTTTCCACAGCAAGCTAAACCATGTAGAACTTAGGACATTTCTAAGTTTTAGGTTGTAGTCTCCAAATTCTAGAACTGGACTACTAGATCTTGACAGGAATTATTTTACGGATATTTCATACCCAGAAAAGTATGTGAGCCCAGACTGACGATAGCTTACTTTTCTTTTGCAGAAAGGATGCCAATTCTGCACTGCTTAGTAACTATGAGGTGAGTAACTTTGAAATGATATATATTATTAATATTTCCATTTCTGATAGTTTGCCCTTTGTTTCTTAAGATTGTTGAATTAGTTTTGGTTAGAAATGACTGAACAGGGGCTGGATTGTTAGCTCAGTTGGTTAGAGTGCAGCCTTGTAACACCAGGGTCAAGGGTTAAGATCCTTGTACCAGACTGCTGCCAAAAATAAAAATTAAAAAAATAAAAATAAATGATTGAACTCATTTGAATTCTCCACTTTAAAACTGAACAGATGGCACCATGCAGTGGACCTTGGAATATTCTCTCTCTCTTTTTTTTTTTTTAACCAAATACATACTGTATTTCAAAATATCACATCTACCTCCTGGGCTTTGACTGTGGATCCCTTACATCAAAAGGATATATAACTTGAACACCACTGGCACGTTACTAGAATTTCACTCATTCAACCACTCCATTCAGTCTTGTCAGGTTCCAAAAGCAGGAGTAGTCTCAGCAAACATATACCTCACCCTTTCAGTCATCTGGTATAATTGAGCTAAGAGACAATGTTGTCTCTCGCTCTGAGCTTCTTTCGAGGTGTTCAAGTAATGTTAGATTTCCCTCAGTACGTAACCCATTTATTCATTCCTTCACCCTTAGTCACTATTCTTCCTTCCCTCTGTTAACACCCAACTTTTCCACCTTTGGCAGGGACATTAGGTTTGGCCGCTATGCTTGTTTAGACAGCAAGCAGCAGTGTTAATATAGCAAGAACCTCCCCCCACTCCACTCCCATTTGTTATATAGGATAAGGTTACATAGGTGCAGAACTAATCAGCTGTATTTATCACCAGGCAATATAGCTGCATTCACTGTTAGCCCCAATTTTGCCACATGGGGTGAAGGCACATGCCACTCCCTTCAGGCCCTTAGGAATTCTGACATAAGGTTTAAAAACATAATAGTTACAGTTTCTTGCTTAGGAATCATCCCTGCTTCCAGCACTTGTACTGTAATTGCAGGACCCAGTCCTAGAACCACTGCATCAGGTCGAGAGAGAAAGAGACTGAAGTGGTATGGGGAAGAATGAAAAAAATTATAGTCATTATACCAGTGTACTCCTCCCTGGGCAAGAATTACATAGTCATACCAGCATCTTTCCCACCCTCTCTTCCTCAGATCTACCAGGAAAACAGAGGAATATCTAGTGGGGACACTCCTTTAGTTCCACTCATGCTGAGCATGAGCACACTCTCGTGATGGCATGTAAGCCAGCCCTTCATGCCTTTATGTCCCCCCGTTTTAGACAACCAGTGTTTTAATTGGCCATTCCACTTCTCTATCAAACTATTACTCTGAGGAGGATATCTCTCTGCCCATTACTGGACGTTATGGGCTGTATGTACAGTGTGTTCCTTGGCCTGAAGAAATGAATGTTTGCCATCCACATTCATGCAGTATCTGTGGTTCTGGTTTTTCTATAGCACTCTGAGCATTCGCATCTTCCATTGGGTAAGCAAACCTCAGTCCAGAGACAGTGTCTATTCCTGTCAAGACCCATTTGTAGCCCCCCAGGACTACCAGCATCAGACTCACTTGCCAGCTATGTCTAGGGCCTTCCCACCAGGGAATCTGCCCCATAGCCATGGGCAGCCTGTCTCTCTTGTTGGGAGACAGAACAGTTCCTGTTGGCATTATGTGCCTGAGAGGGTACAAAAGAAATGTTTCTAGATCCAGCCCATCTCTGCACTGCTGCAGTACCCCATGTCCACTCATTTCATGGGCCCAGGTGGCCACCTCAGGTGAGCTCACAGGGATATCTGCTTGTTGATTCCAGTCACCTCGTGAGCCTGGAAGGGAGCTCTCCTGATGGGCATTGACCTGTTTTACTTTAATGCTACCCTCAAATGTCTATACATGGGCATCCCTTAAATAGGCCAGGTTTCCATTGCCTCCTGCCTGACCATTTGGCTAGGCCACTGGCCACTGCCCATGAGTCAGCAAAAACCCAAACACGGGGCTTTTACCACTGTTCAATTCTTCCATCTCTGCTACGAAAACAATATGCAGTCCAGCCCGATGAACTGACTTGTTTTTACCTTCTTTGATCAGAGTGGCATCCTTCCAAACAGGATGTTGTCTGTTCACCGTGGAACTGCTATCTGCAAACCCAGTAGCTCTTGAATGGTCAGTTGAGAGCTATTAATAGGGCACTGTTCAAGTGTTGATAGAATCCAGCAGCTCCTCGCACAGTTCCAGAGTCGATCCTGGGGAAAGGAGTCTCCTTGCTTGTGAGTGTTTCCCCCTCTCATTCCCCAGGTAGCATGATCTTGTAAAAAACATTTAAATTCTCTTGTCCAGAGTCCCAGTGGTCATCACTGGGAAGTGCTTACAAGCATTTGCCATGAGCCCCAGCCTAGGCTCCTCCACAAGGGCTATCAGAGAATTTGTCCATACCAGCTGTATTAGTCTGTTTCTGTGGCTTATAACAAAATACCTGAAACTGAGTGATTTATAAAGAAAGCAAAATTTATTGCTTACAGTTTCAGAGTCTGGACAGTCCAAAGTCCAAGGAACACGTTTGGTGAAGGCCTTGGTGGTGGCAACAGTGACCCAGGGGTCTCACGTGACAGAAAATGGCAGAGCAGAGAGAGCTCCTGGTTCACTCTCTTTTTTTAAAGCCCTCAACCATACCCCTGACCACCATTTTTAATCCATTCACTATGGCATGGTCTTACAATGTATTCATCTCTTCAAGGCCCCACCATTCAATTTCCTTAGTAGGATTTCCCACCCTCAACAGTTACAGTGGGGATTTAAGGTTCAGTGAGGTTGGGGGAACATCCGATCTAGAGCGTTTTGCCCCTGGTCCCTCAATCTTGTGTCTTTTTCACATACAAATAAATTCATTTCATCCCCAAAGTCTAACTTGTTACAACTTAAAAGTCCAGAGTCCCATCTGTGAAATCAAAACAAGTTATCTACTTTCAAGATACAATGGTGGGACAAGCATAGGGTACCTATTGCAATTCCAAAAGGGAGAAATAGGCCAAAAGAAAGGTGTAGCAGGTCCCAAACAAGTCCAAAACCCAGCAGGGCAGGCATTAAATCTCAAAGCTGTTGAATCACGTACCTTGACCCCACATTCGATGTCCTCTGCATATTGTTCCAGGGTTTTGGTCCCCAAGTCCTTGGGCAGCTCTGCTCCTGTGTCTTTCCTGGTCTCAGGTGATGCTTTAGGTCTCACAGGCTGGTATTCCACTCTGGTAGCTCCACAGGTTTGGGGTCTCCATGGTGGTCCTGCTTCACGGCTCCACTAGGTATAGCGCTGTTGGGGTTTTTCTGCTGCAACTTTGACCCGTTTCTGCTCAGCACTGCTCTAGTGAAGGCTGTCTACGATGAATCACCCCATGACAGATCTCTTCCTGGGCCCCCAGGCTTTTCCATACATCCTTTGAAATTAGAGTGGAGACTCCCACGCCTCCACATCTCTAGCATTCTACCAGCTTGCCCTGTGGACGCTGCCAAAGTTGCAGGTCCAGGCACCCCTCTGGGGGCAGTTTAGCCACAGCTGGAGCAGCCAGGGCAGCCAAGGTGCTGGTGCTGGAAACAGCTTTCCAAGGTGGCCCTAGGTAGCGAGTTCGAGGAGACTGCTTCATGCCTGTTCCCCAAGGCCCTTGTGACTCCCTAGACCTCTGGGCCTGTAATGGAAGGGTTGGCCCCGGAGGCTTCTGCAATGCATTCAGGGCCTTTTTCCCCTTCTCTTGATAATCCTTTTCTTCTGTACACATCTCCTTAGTACCATTGGATTTTTCTCCTCTCCCTGCTTCTCTACTATGTGACCAGGGTGCAAATTTTTCAAATCTTTATGCTGTGCTTCCCTTTTAATTATACACTCTGGCTTTACATCATTTCTTTACAACCATAACTCAGTGTAGGCTGTTATAAGTAGCCATGCAGCTTCCTGAATGCTTTGCTGCTTAGAAATTTCTTCCACCAAATACTCTGGGTCAGCACCTTTAAGTTTCACATTCCATAAAATTTGGGGGCATAAACAGAGTGCAGCCAAGTTTCTTGCCATTTCACAGCAAGAGTGATCTTTGCTCCAGTTTCCAATAAGTTCCCTGTCATTTACATCTGAGATCACCTCAGAATGGCCTTTACTGTCCATATTTCAATCAGTATTCTGCTCACCACCATTAACCAGTCTCTAAAACATTCCAAACTTTCTCTGGTTTCCTTGTCTTCTAAACTCCAGCAGCAGCTAGGCTTATTCTAGCCTGCTCCTTCAGATTCTTCCAGCCTTTCCTCAACACCCCAGTTCTCTGGTACCAGTTTTCTTTTCTTTTCTTTCTTTTTTTTTTTTAAGATGACAAGTAAGGGGATCCTAACCCTTGACTTGGTGTTGTCAGCACCGTGCTCTCCCAAGTGAGCCATGGGCTGGCCCCTCAGTTTTCTATATTAGTCAGTTTCTGTTACTAATAACAAAATATATGGAACTGGGTGATTTGTAAGAAACTGGAATTTATTGCTTACATTTTTGGAGTATGGAAAGTCCAAAGTCCAGGGAACACATTTGGTGAAGGCCTTCGTGGTGGTGACAGTGACCCAGGGGTCTCACATGGTAAAAAATGGCAGAGCAGAGAGAGCTCCTGGTGCACTCTGCATTTTAAAGCCCTCAACCGTGCCCATGACTACCATTTTTAATCCATTCACTATTGCATGGTCCAACAGTCTAATCACTTCTCCAAGGCCCACCTTTCAATTATCATAATGGATTTCCCTCCCTCAATGGTCACAGTGGCGGATTTAAGCTTCAGTGAGGTTGGGGGGCATCCAGTCTGTAGCACCAGCACTGCAGCTTCTGCTCTACATTTCTGTGGACTTGTGCAGCCTTACTGGTTCCTATTTAGTATGCCTCATGAATATTGCTTGAAGGTCATGTTTACACGCCTTCTGTTTTACAATATTAGTAGGGGAAACACTCCCCAGTCAACCCTCTCGTTTACTTTCATTTTAGCTATTATGGGTAACAGTAACCAAGGCATTGTATGTTTTGCTTTTTTCTTATTAGTCTGCATTTCCTTAATGCATCCAGTGAACAAACTCTCCAGGAGTTGGATCTATCTCTAAATTCCACTGGTAACTTAGTAACTGCAGCACTGCTGTGACTCCATATCATGGGTGACCATGTGGCTACCCAGGAGTTAAAAGTTCCTTATCCCCCACTCATTTTTCCTTTTTTTCCCCAAACCGTGTTTCCCTAAGCCAGGGCCGTCAATTGCAACCAATTCCTCAGTGGACATGAGTTGGGTGCCCTCTCATTCACTACTAATGCTGTCTACTTGGAAAGAGCGTCAGTTCCCACAGGTCAGGGGCTTAGTCCCCAAGACTACTCACCCCCCTTCTGGTGCCAAGCCAAAGCTACAGGTTGTTTTACCTGTGCTTCTGACAAACTGGTTATAAATTGGGGTTCCCACAACCCCCTCCTTGGGTTCAATTAATTTGCTGTGTGGCTAACAGAACTCAGGGAAACACTTATATTTACCCATTTACTATAAAGCATAAACAGCCAGATGAAGAGCTATGTGGTGGAAGGGGTGTGGAGCTGCCATGCCCTTCCCGGGTGTACCACCCTTCAGGAAAGTCCACATGTTCAGCTATCCAGAAGCTCTAGACCTTGGAATAGTCTAAGGTTGGCAAATTATACACAGTACTTCAGGGATGTTGGGAAGACCTTAGTTTACAGTAGGCAACCTTCCTTAAATTCCAAAGATTCTTGATCATTTGGGATGCCTTCATGGGGTGGAAGCATCTATTTTAGAACCCCTTCTGTCTGCAAAAGTTTACTATTAAAGTATTTATACCTTTTCCTAATTACCACCCTTTACCTATAAAATGCTTTATGCATTATCATTTTTGTTAGGCAGTTGTGTTTTAGCCGATGTCTAAGACGGCAGCGGGTAGACGGAAGGAACACCCAAAATGGCTGCAGAGAGTTTCAGGTCCCTAGAATAGCACATTTTCCGAGAATCACAAGAAATCCCCTCCCCCTTCTTCACCACCACATCCCCTTCCTGTATGCGTGAATTTCTCCCCGCTGGCTTCCCTCCCCTTCCTTCTTAGCCAATAGGAGCAGTCCAGCTCAGCCTAACTGGATATAAAAGGCCCAGCCCGACTCTCCTGCTGCTGCTCCCACTTCTGAGAGGGCAGCCCGCTTGTTCATTTTGCCCGCCTAATACACTTTGGTTGAGTCCCTGTCTCCTGGTGTTTTATTTTTGTGCTCAGGCTGGAGCTTTTCCTTCCAATTTTGATCCTCAAATAGTCTTATGGGTATGGATAACACCCTCATTTTGAAAGTGAGAGTTTAGTTGACTCACTGTTGTGAATAGTTTGGTAGGAATTAACAGATTTATAATTTTGGGGGCTTTGTGGTGAGGTTGCTGGGGAAAGAGGAAAGAAGGAATGAGGTTGATGAGAGAGGAGATGTGACAATATTCTTGCCAATATCCTAATTTTCCTGGGTCCTGTTTGGTACTAGCAAAACCATCTGGTGGATTAACTCCAGATATAGAAAGAACCATTCATACATTGACTGTCCATTTTCCATATGCCAGAGTCTAAACTCTGGAAGACTTAGAGGAGGTCTGAGTGTCCATGGTGTGATACATATAGAAGGTAGTAGTAGTAACAGTGGGCCATATTTCTTCCTTCCTAGAGGTTCATCATAAATGATTGCTGCTCATAACAGGAAAGAAATGGTTACTGGTAGGCCTGGCCCATGGTTCACTTGGGAGAGTG